GCACTCAGGCACTTCCTGCCATACCTGAAGGGGAGGCATGTGCTTGTCCGCTCGGACAACACTACAACGGTTTATCATATAAACCATCAAGGGGGCACCAAATCTGCACGCTTGCTAGAGGTGTCCCAGGCTCTCCTGACCTGGGCAGCCCCTTGCCTGGCCAGCCTACGGTCAATGTATCTGCCCGGAGAGAGGAACCAAGTCGCAGACTTCCTCTCCCGTCACAAACCTCCACCAGGGGAGTGGCGGCTTCATCCAGAGGTGGTGGCCAACATCTGGGGTCTCTTCGGCAGGGCAGAGGTAGATCTCTTTGCCTCGAGGACTTCGACCCACTGCCTCCTATGGTTCTCCTTGATGGAGAAGACCAGCCCTTTGGGTCAGGACGCCCTGGCTCATTCATGGCCAGGGTGCCTTCTCTATGCCTATCCACCCCTTCCCCTGATCCTACCAACACTCCTCAGAGTGCTTCATCAGGGCCACAGGCTTCTTCTGGTGGCCCCCTTCTGGCCAGCCAGGACTTGGTTCTCCCTGCTGCACAGACTCTGTTGCGGGACACCTTGGCGTCTCCCCAACAGGGGGGACCTCTTGTCTCAGCTGGAGGGTCGGATATGGCACCCCGACCCCGGCCGCCTCCAGCTGTGGGTCTGGCCACTGGAGGGCCCGACCCACTGCTGAGCGACTGCGTAGAGCCTGTCAGGAGGACTATCCTCAATGCTAGGGCACCATCTACTCGTAAGCAGTACGAGAACAGGTGGAAACTGTTCTCTAACTGGTGCCAAGGGCGGAATGAGGACCCAGTACATTGCTCGGTGCCTACTATCCTTGAGTTCCTGCAGTCCCTCCTGGACGACGGCCGGTGTCCCGCTACCATCAGAGTGTATGTGGCTGCTATATCAGCTCAACACTCAAGGGTTGACAACAGCACAGTGGGGAGCCATAGGCTGGTATCCCTCTTTTTAAGGGGAGCACTGAGGCTCCGCCCCCCGAACATCCCAAGGGCCCCTACATGGGATCTGCCCTTGGTGCTGGATGCCCTATGCTCGCCTCCCTTTGAACCCTTGTTACAGGCAGAACTGAGGTGGCTCTCAGTCAAGACTGCTTTCCTTCTTGCCATCACCTCAGCAAAACGTGTAAGCGAGCTTCAGGCCTTGTCTGTGAACAGCTCGTGTCTGAGGTGGAACTCAGATGGCTCAGGTGTCACCTTATGGCCGAACACAGCGTTCCTCCCTAAGGTGCTGGCACGCTCTCATTTTAAATCGGCCTATCCAGCTGGCACGGTTTGACCCCCCATCAGGAGAGGGGGAAGAGAGGTCGAGACTCCTATGCCCGGTGCGGGCCCTTAGAGCTTATGTCCAGACTACCGCTGACATGCGTCAGTCTGAGCAGCTCTTTTTATGTTACGGTGGTCCTAGAAGGGGCTGTGCGCTCTCCAAACAGCGCTTGTCCCACTGGATCGTGGACGTCATTGCCCAGGCATATAAGGCGAATGACCGTCCCTTGCCACCGAGAGTAAAGTGCCACTCTACCAGGAGTGTCTCCACATCATGGGCGACCTGGAGAGGTGTGCCCCTGGAGGACATATGTGCTGCGGCCACATGGGCATCTCCGAGCACATTCGCCAGATATTACAGGGTGAATGTTGCCGCCCCTCACCCGCTGGGTGTGGTCCTCCTGCAGAGTCCGTCTAGGCCATCCTTATAGGTGAGTATTCAGACTTCCTCGTGACTCTGTTGATATAGGTCATCCAGTGCTAAAGCACCGCCTCTGGCGGTCAGTAAGTATGAAATAGAACGATAGTTACGTATGTAACTACGGTTCTATGAATACTGGATGACCGCCAGAGTTCTTGGTCACTCAGAATTTCGTGTTTCTGCGAGAAGATTCCATAGGACTGAGCCCGTTGACAGCACCGGAACTTATACCTTCCGGTGTCATACGGGGTCACACGTGACTTTGTTGATATAAATATTCGACCTACGCATGCGCGAGACAGAAGATATCCAGTGCTAAAGCACCGCCTCTGGCGGTCATCCAGTATTCATAGAACCGTAGTTACATACGTAACTATCGTTTGATTGGGGTAAAATCGATCTGTGTGCTGATGTAGAAACTGCATGGTCTTATTTTTATCTTGGTTTTATGGAGATCATTGATAGACATGCACCCCTACGTACTTTTAGAGTCAAGGGACGAGACAATCCTTGGTTCTCTGCTGAACTGTCCAGTCTCCTACATGAGAGAAACAAGGCCTGGGCAAAGGCTAGGAAATCAGGCTCAGAGGTAGACTGGCTACGCTTTAGGCAGCTAAGGAATAGCTTCACTTCACATGTCAAAAGTGCTAAGTCGAAGTATTATCTGTCAGTTACCACAAAGAACCTGAACAATCCTGGAAAATGTTGGAAAGCCATAAAATCGATATCCACCGGTGAGATCTGAAATGAGCTACCTCCGTGCCTTACCACAGCATCTGGCTCTATATCGGACAAGGCCACCATGTTAAATTGTTTTAATGAGCATTTTGTGTCCTGTGGCTCTCGGTTTGATTCTGTGACTAACTCTGCTACTGTGAACACCACAGTCTGTGACTCTGAACAATGTTGTCTGGAAAACCCTTTCAGTTTTACTCCTTTTACTGTAAATGTTGTTCGTGAAGCTTTAACCAAGTTAGATCCTAAGAAACCGGCCGGCCCGGACAACGTAGAACCTTTCTTTTTAAAGATAGCTGCAGATTTTATTGCTCCACCTCTCACTACTCTTTTTAACCTCTCCCTCAGCACAAACACAATTCCAAAATTGTGGAAGTCAGTGTATGTCCTGCCTCTACTAAAAGGTGGGGAGGCCACCTTATTAAATAATTATAGGCCCATCTCCAAATTATCAGTTCTGGCTAAGGTTCTTGAACGCCAAGTGAGTGAACAGGTAAAGGTGTTTTTATGTACAAATGACATCCTGTCTAAAGATCAGTCAGGTTTCAAAGCAACATCGCACCATCACTGCCACAATGAAAGTGGTGAATGATGTGGCGAGTATTTTAGATAATAAGCAGAGTTGTGCAGCTCTATTTATTGACCTTTCCAAAGCGTTTGATACCGTCGATCATCGCATCTTAAAGCAGAGGCTACTCAGTATTGGCATATCCAGCCATGCAGTGGGGTGGTTTGTGAACTACCTCTCTGAAAGGTCTCAATGTGTTCATTTTGATGGGCTGTCTTCTAAGTGGTTAAACATTACTAATGGTGTTCCTCAAGGTTCTGTTTTAGGTCCACTTTTATTCTCCATCGACATCAATAGTTTAGGTGAAAATGTCGAAGGAGCAACCTTACATTTTTAATGCGGACGATACCGTGATGTACTGTGCATGTCCCTCCATTAAGGAGGCTGTTGTTGAATTGCAAGCTGTTTTTAACATTATTCAGACTCAGCTCTCTGAGCTTAAGCTTCTTTTAAATGTTGAGAAAACCAAGGTAATGCTCTTTTCAAAAGCTAAAAAGACACCAGAGCCTGTTTTAGATATTGTAACTACGCAAGGAATAAAACTCGAAGTGGTTACCTGTTACAAATACCTTGGTATCTGGCTTGATGACTGTCTCACTTTTAAACGTCATGTCAATAACCTGCTTAAAAACGGAGGGTTAGACTAGGTTTCTTCTACAGGAACAAGTCCTGTTTCTCGCTCGAGGCCAGAAAAAGGCTAGTCACTGTGACCTTTTTACCTGTGCTGGACTATGGTGATCTGATTTATATGAATGCACCTGCCAATTGCCTGGTCAAGTTAGATGCTGCGTATCACAGTGCACTGAGATTTGTGACAAACTGTAAAGCATTAACCCATCACTGTACCCTGTATGCAAGGGCTGGTTTGCCTTCGCTAACTGTACGGAGGCTCAGTCACTGGTACATTTTTATATATAAAGCCATGTTAGGGAAACTTCCATCCTACATCTGCTCCCTGATCTCACGGCGAATTGTAAGTGGCTACTGCCTGAGATCGCATGCTGTGGTTGTATTAAATGTGCCAACTGCTAGGACTGTCTTAGGGAAGATAGCATTTAGATGCGCAGCTCCACTGTCTTGGAATAGTCTGCAATTGAAATGGAAACTGAGCAATCTGGTGCCACTAAATGTTTTTAAAGCTCGGTTGGATGCTACTCAATCGGAAGCTGTTGGTACCTGTTGATGTGGATAGTTATGTAAATTGTAATCCCTGTAATGATGCTGTATGATGTCCTTTTTGTTGTTCTGTTTATGTTTTTATGTTTCATGTGGAACCTACTTGAGCAGGTCTCCCTTGAAAAAGAGATCAATGATCTCAATGGGATACAACCTGGATAAATAAAGGTTTGAAATGAAATGAGCCTGTACTCATCAGCTCACAAGCCATCAGCTTCATAGTAAAGACGCTTTGAGCTGAATTAAACCCATCTGACCCTGCAAGTGCATTCCAAGCCTCATTTCCCCCGTTTTCCTCCGTGGTGTTACCATCAAACAGCCCACAGTGTAGGCTGTGATGTGATCTGACATCACACATGTCCATATACTGTCCACAAGCTCATAAAAAACACACACACACACACACACACACACACACACACACACACACACACACACACACACACACACACACACACACACACACACACACACACACACACACACACACACACACACACACACACACACACACACACACACACACACACACACACACACACACACACACACACACACACACACACACACACACACACACACACACACACACACACACACACACACACACACACACACACACACACACACACACACACACACACACACACACACACACACACACACACACACACACACACACACACACACACACGAAAGATGATTAAAGTGTTCTGACTGACTGAATGTGTGAGCATGCGAACCACGGTAAAAATAGAACATTGAGAATACTAACAGCGAGGGAGAGTGTCTGTGTGTGTGTGTGTGTGTCTGCGTGTATGTGAACTTACTCGCTCTTGGCGAAGGCGTACTTGTTGATGGTATCGATGACGTCTTTGAAGAGGATCTTGGAGGTGAGGGTGTAGCCGTGGTGCACGATGGGCTCTCCGTCCTGACCGTCCCAGCAGTCCACTGCGGACAGGAAACACAAACAACATGAAAAATTGCAAATTCAATCAACAAATAATAGCACTGCTATTTACTTTAAAACATTTTTTTATTTCTGGGCCAGTAATAGAAGGGTGCAGGAATGAGTCTGTGGCAGCGGGGTGTGGTTAGGGCGCCGGCTGCTGGACTGAAGGGAGTGGCTCGGCCGGAGGCCAGACAGCTGATCAGAATCAGGTAATCAGTCACTGAATAAAAGCATGTGGTAACCTGGTTCTGGTCTGTCTTGCAGTAGGCTGGATCCTGGAAGGTGTTTTGTGGTTTGTTAAACAATAAACCCCTGTGTTACACCCAAACCCTGCTCTTTCCGTCCCTGTTCAGGTGCCACTGTGAGCCTCTCCGCTCACACCGGGTTCAAAGAGGGACGGAAAGAGCACGGTTTGGGTGTAACACAGGAGTTTAGTGTTTAACAAACCACAAAACACGTTGCCCGTGCGGGATCCTTCACGGGTCCTTTTGCATCCTTCCAGGATCCAGCCTACTGCAAGACAGACCAGAACCAGGTTACCACATGCTTTTAGTCTTGGAGAGAGAGAGAGCGAGAGAGCTAGAGAGAGCACACCTTTATCTATTTAATATAGCCTAGTTGTAAAAAATTAAGTAAGAAATCATTCCAATGTGTACTATAGGACAGTAACAAAAACAAAAAGCAGTTTGAAAGGGGAGTGATTAATAAAATATGCATAAATAAAAAGAAAGAATGCTAACTAGGTAACATAAGATAAGAATAAACCAGTTTAAATGATTTGTTATTGGTTGTGATCATATTCTAAAGATGTTTGGAGTATTGAAAAGTATACAGCTCCCTTTCATCCGAGTGTTGAGAGCTGTATCCATCAATTCATGTTGTGCTTAAAGTGCACCAGATTGATGCATTTCACTTCAACATTTAAAAAAACATCTTCACGGGGGTGCAGGCCCCCGGACCCCCCTAGAGGAGGTGAGGTCCACCCCCAAATAAAGCAGGTTAAAATAATTAAATTGCATACATGTTCTTTTAGTAAACACTGCAAACGGGTCCCACAGACCCAAACAGCACACAAAGGTTAAAGGTCAGCATATCATAATGTTAAAATGTGCTAAATATATACAGTACACTGCAAAAAAAACTAAAAGAGAGGAGTGACAGTAGCTCACGACTTGTTTTATTTTGTGAAAGTAGCTCTCATCCTAAAAAAGGTTGGTGACCCCTGTTATAGAACGATACATTTGACCATTTTAAGCTTGGCCTACCATTTGATTGGAGCGATGAGGAACAGGTGGGGCTTGAAAAGGCCCACCTGTTCAAAGTGGGGAATGACAGAAGAAGTTTGAGAGCCACTGAGTTAATGGGAGAAACAACAGATCATGAAAAGGAAAATATCCTTTATAAATGTCGTATATGCTTCGTTCAACTTCCAGTTCAAGCTAAGATTGAGGATCGAGGAAATGTCAAATAAGAGACTTGGGGTGCATCCTATGTGTTCAAGTGAGACTTATCTACGTCAACACGTCTATCATTAGCCACCTTTAGCTCTGCGGGGCTAATGTGAAGTCGTGTGAACGTGATACAGTTTGTTTGTAGCCTATTTTTAGCTCTGTACTTCTGGTGATAGCCTTCATGCTAAGCTGTGCCTGTATCCTGAGAGTGTGAGTGTGTGTCCTTGCTGACCCTCCACACAGCGGCAGCCGGCCTGCAGCACCCAGGCGTACATGTCCACCCTGGACTGGGACATCAGCTGGTCCCCCATCAGGTAGGTGTTGTGGGACGAGGCGATGAAGTAGTTGCAGAGCGGCTGCTTCATGTCCTGCAGCACGCTGTAGTGCTCCGGGTTGAAGATGTCCCCCGCCGGGCTGCGCATGTAGTTAGTAATGCCTGGAGGAAGAAGGTCAAACAAAATCAAGTTTTTTAAACGGTTTTGACTCCGGAATACAATCTGGAGTAGAGCTTGAAAAGTGGTGTACTGAGGATCAAAGTAAATGTGTTTTAGATTAATTTGGGATATTTTTTTTTTATTCTCAGGTTTGAAATTAGAATAACATTTTAAACCCAACACCTTTTCATCAAATAATCAAATTCTATTATTCATCCACATTACTTGATCTATTGAGATGTAAACTGACAATATAAGTAATTTAATTACTACAAAATGACAGACATAACTCTTACACTAAATCTGTGCAAAACCCCAACAGAAAAAGAAGAAAGAGATTTTAAGAATAAAGTGGTAAGAACAAATTCTACATTTTATAAGAATAATATACAACATTAAATTATTTTACGTCACAAACTATGATATCACAGATTTTATTAGAATTGTTTGTTTAAGTCATTGTTGCACAATAAAATGACTCTTGAAATGACTTGTAAGTATATTTCCAAACAATGTTGTGTATTCCATTCACATTCAAATCTCACAGCTCATAGATATTCTGTCATCAGAGAGATGAGTAGTTCTGAATGTGGTCATTCATAACAAGCTGTTTACACATCAGCCAGTCAGGTTTGATGTATACTGTAGTACTGCCATTTAAAAAAGAATTCTCCTTCCAAAGGGAAAAAAAACAATGATTAAGGTATTACATATCTTTTCTAAGTGGAATAGAAAACATAGTGATAATATTTTTCATACAAGCCTTACTTCAGTAAATTAGAGAGAGGAGTCATCTGCCTATCCATTAAACTACATTACATCGGATTTACCTGACGCTTTTACCCAAAGGCACTTGAGTGCATTAGCATTCATTTAAAGCCAAATCTCATTATGTACTACCAACAGAAGAGAGAATTTACTTAAATGTAAATCCATTTAATTTCCTTTTTAATTGTCTTTTTTGTTCCTGTACACCTTTACACTATACCTACAAAAGCACTAACAAAAGACTAGGGATTTAACAGAATACCACAAATTAAAGTGTGTTCTGTTCAATTAGTTCAAGTGTCACTTGCCTCTGGACAGGCTCTAATGTTGAGTCTCTTTGGACAAAAGCATCTGCCATATGAAGGAGATGTAAGGAAACATTGAGAGAATTTCTAAATTCTCCCCTTGCCGGGAAGCAAAAAGCCCCACTCTGATACAGTACTACTAGGATATTATTTGAATAGCAGAAAACAGAATAATTCATATGTAGGAAGCCTACATGGAACTTCTGTTGCACTGGGTGTAAATGTTATTAAAGTAGGCTTACCATCAATTCCCAGAACTCCTTGCTTCTGGTTCTCGGAGCACGGCTCAAATTTGTTGATAATCTCCAGGCAATGTTCCTTGGTCACCTTGGTCATCTACAAATGATGTACACATATGTAAAACAACAATACTACTGTATGCATTATGCTATAATATACTTAAATATAATCCCCTCGTAAAAAAAGAAAAATCTGGCATCATAATTAATAATAATATCATTTATGATAAGTTAAAGCATCAACCAGTTGTGAGTGCTCCCTACATCCTGGATGCAGAATGCAGCTCTCAAAGCCCCGCCCCCCCATCAGTCAATCACACCCCATGTTGATTATTGAAAAGGGAAGGCAGTCTACCCCTCACCAAGGACTCTGTGCTCGTGTGTCTGTGACCGTTCAAACTATGGGACAGGATCTGGCTCTGGATATTGATGAACACAGAGCAGAGGTATCGGGGGGGGGGGTCTGATACTCTCCACTAAATGTCTCTTAACGCTTGCCGTAAGCAGTCCACAGACTCTGCGTTGTCAGCCTCTTCTGGAAGAGAGCTCCACTCTGATTGTTCTTGTAATAATGAGTGTTTGAAAATGTTGCCAGAAGGGAATATTGGCTCAAGAGTTTCACTTCAGACAGGCTCCAGGTACATAGAGGCATCAACCGCTCAGATTATGGACAATCTAACCAGAACTAAGAACTAACCAATTCGCTCACTCACTTTCACTCAATTCCAAACAATTCAACAGTTCGAGCATTTGTAAGACACTGCTGTCCACCTGAAACATCCAAAGGACAAGGACAAAGTCCACCTAGCGTCTTTTCTGAGCGCCAGTGTCTTTTTTTCATTGATTTCAATGAGAACAGAGCGCATTCCGTCACATGCTGCCGCCAATAGAACAAGTACAGCTTCCAACGGTTGATTTCTGAGTGGTCCACTTCCAATTGAAAATATGTCAACAGTTCAGAAAAGTGCTGTTGATGTCACTGTGGCAATTGGATGGAAAGCTTGTTTTTTGCCGTGTTTTTCACACAGTAACTATCATAACAAAGAGCCAATGTATTGCAGCGACTCTGCCCGGCTGCCCTTGCCGGTGAGTGTGTGACTTTTACTGCGTCCTCCCTCTCTCTACAGCTGTCAGTGGTGTGTGGGAGCAGGATTCTTCATTTTGGTTGTAATAGTGATACAAACATGTCAAACAGATGTATAGTAGCTCAAACAGATTATACAATCCAATGCTAGCCTGTCATATAACAGTGGTGACAGGTTGTCAAGATATCGTTGTCATGGAAACTATAGAAAAAGCACTGGGAGCGTTTATTGGATGAAACACTGCGAGGATGCTCTCCCCTGTGCTTTCTTCCAAAAAAAGCTTCTATGCTGACGGGGCGTTAAAGGCTTGTGCTTTAGTGGGATTCCATGCCATTTTTACATCTCAAAAGAATCTGGATAAAGTTCTGTGTGGAGAGCAAATCCAGACGCTCAGCAGATGTTAGTTCATTGTTACTGTGGATTGGCACCAAAGAGCATGCTGGGAGGCAGAGAGCCTGCAGACTGCTGCCAACCCCCCCCCATTAGCATTAGCATCATATATTTTATTTTATTTGTACAGTTATGACAACCAGTACCTAGTTGGGCTTTAATACCATAAACATTTTAAGTGTGTGTTTTAGTTGCAAAACAATTATACAATTACTATTCACTTTTAAAAACGCTAACATTGAACAATAAGAAGAAGCAGAAGCTTTAGCCCTGAAAGACATTGCTATTGACAGCAGCCATTGCTTGTATAGATGGAGGTGTTGTGGATACATTGTGCTGGGTTTCCTCATTGATTGACGTTGTTCATTATGTGTCACTGTCCGTAGTGCTGAAACAGAGCAGACAGGATGGAGGGACACACACAGAGGGCTGGACGGAACGTGGTTTCAGAGCCTGTTCACTTGTGCCCCTTTTCCACCAAACCAGTTCCAGTTCTAGCTCCGTCCTTGCGCTTTTCTGGTTCCGAACTGGTTCTTCTTTTTAGCCCCACTTGTGTTTCCACCGCTAAGAGCCCGACTGGTGCTGCGTCATGACGTCAACGTCGCTGATTTTCTCCCCGACGTCGCTCACAACAACAACAATGGGGGACTGCGTTGGGTCGATGATCGTGTTGCTTTTAATCATACGAAGCCAGGTTAAATTCAAAAACGACTTCTCCAACCAAATCATTTTCTCCAGAGTGCCGTGGTTCATTGTTTATTAATGTGTTTCAGCGGCATTTACCGACCGCTGCAGTGCTGCTCGTCCACCGGAGTTTAGTCTACCGTTAACTCACGGCAGAGTTTAGTCTCCCGTTAACTCACGGCAGAGTTTAGTCTCCCGTTAACTCACGGCAGAGTTTAGTCTCCCGTTAACTCACGGCAGCGGCCGCTGTAAAGTATTCACTGTCTGACTGTCACACAAGCAGCTGATACATATCCCCAGTTCCCCTTAAGTGAATGTGTGTCAGTCTGAATTGACGCTGTTTGGCATCACAACGCTGTTATGAAAGTTTCTCTGGTATAACATGGGTGATGTTAGCATAGCAACCGAAGCTAAACTGACTACTTGCTAAGCAGTTTTCTACAGGCACTTTTTACCGGCGTATTTTTCATTATGATTCTACTTGTGATAGTCGGACATGACAACCTGTGCAGCCCATGTATTGATTCCATCCGATAGCTGCTATAATAACAAACAAAACGTCTGCCTGCTCTCCACAATGATCAATAACAGCGAACGGATGGTCAAAGTAAGGTACAAATAAACAGAATCACACGAAGCCTGGTTAGTGTTGCCTGACTTTATAAAGTGTGTTTTTTTGTGTGTGGTCGCATATCTTTTCTCAGCGCTACTGCTTGTTACAACTTGTATTTGCCGTACTCGCCATGAACTGTTATTGCTCAGGTTAATCTCGCCCCCCTCTGGCGTAAGTGCGAAGTATTGGTTCTTGGTTCTTAGCGGGCAGCCGAGTGGGGTCAGCTAAGAACCGGTTTTCGCTGCTTAGAGCCGCCTCCGCTGCGGTGGAAACACGAAGAACCAGAGCTTAAATCAGGCTCTAGCCCGGAAAAGGTCCTGGAACCGATTTGGTGGAAAAGGGACATTTGGATGCATGTTAATATAACTTTTAGCCAACATTTCAAATCCCACCATTGTAGCAATGGGTCAGACTGAGGGAGAGAGCTTCAAGCTGCAAACAGCGGATTTGACAATCATTCATATATTCATAATCATTTCAGCCCTCTACATGTATGTTCTTTTGTGAGTGCTCTTCCATTTTCAAACCACAGCCTGATGTTGTTGTTTTTAAGCATTTCTGAGCTCCAATTGTCTTTGGACAATGCAACTTCTATCATCGTGATTTCACACACACTAAGAAGATTAATTGATAGTACATAATACATTTTTCTAAATTGTATTCAGTATTACAAATAGGCTTATATTAATACCAAAACAGGCTGTATATCATGATGTATTGAGAAAACCAAGCCATCCTAAGTAAATCTAATATCCAGCACCCCCATATAGCCAGAATGGAATGATCCTTTGTTTCATGAACCAGTTCCCTGCCACTGAATAGTTGACCATTTATTGTTTAGGAATGTAGGTATGTACCTATAAGTCTACATAAGTCAAATATTAGGTCCAAGACAATTCAATTAATTGTCATATTCAGTCAGGTACATAACAGGATTGTGCGTTTATATAGGAGTTGTTCAATAATATGGAAAGATGATGGAAGTTGGTCACATTATGTTCTCTTCACTCTGACAGACACACAAGGAGAAGACAGAAGCAGAAACTAACAGCGTGTGTAGGTAATGATTCCAGTCTAGACAACACTGCTGCTTCTCTGCATCGTTTCAAACAAATCACTTCACAAAACTGCCTGCAGCAAAGGAGTAGGAGAGCCATCTCGTTCCCAGCAGCAGATCTTAACGCAGAGGATAATTGGAGAGAAATAACGGCCCACCTGAGCGGAGCCGACGGCATAAAACTTCCAACAGAGCCGTCTGCCTCTAAAGAGTCTGTTTCTGCACATTAAAAAGCCTAACAGTGTGCAAATTATCTGAAGGAGCACACACTGGGTGTTTAAAGAAAACGAGCTGTTCCGCCCATTGATTATTTTTCTCTTTCAAGCCACGGTATCATTAGCAAGTTAGTTCTTCATCTGACAGCCCGTTACAAATGCATCTCCAGAGCTGAGATGCTACGATGCTAATTTCCCTGTGTTCATGTCGCGACATTAAGGAACACCTCAGGGGCCCAGTGGCTCCTCGGTTAAGCTCTTGACCTCCCACCATGCACAAGAGCCTTATGGGTATTAAGTCAATACAACTGTGAAAGAGCAGAAACACAAACTTCTGCCTGTAGCAGCACACAAGGGGACATTTCATTTGATTGGTTCAGTGTTCTAAAAGCTTATTTTTCAGGCCCTGAGCACTAAATGGACACTTATTGTCTGCTAATGCTCTAGTAAATTGGGATGATAGCACACACATATTCATGCTTGGTAGGATCATCTCTGTTTTTTGTGAAAAGAAAGTAGCCTTTCAATGCAGCAAATATTTTGTAGCTTGGATTTACATAACATGAAAAGACGTTCAACAACAAGCGTATCTATAGTCAAGATTATTTTCTCCAACCGCACACAGTTTTATTGAAACATTCACAAAAATGTAAAATTAAAAAAATGGAATCATCTAGGTTCCTCCAAGAAAACAGCTGAAACCAGACATGGCTAGCCTAGTTTAGCCCAAAGACTGAAACCATGTTGTTTAGTCGATTTGCTGCTCCATACAGTAAGTGCCACACATTTTTTGTGGCTTGGATTGACTATTTACTAGCTTACTTATGGGCTGGTAAATTGGGATGATGGCAACAGAAATATCCATGCTTGACTGAATCTGTTCTTTTTCTAAAGAAAGTAGCCTTTCAATGCAGCAACTGCTTTATAGCTTGGATTCAAATGTACCACTGATTGCCCGCTAATGTGGGATGATAGCACAAACCAACGCAGTGAAAGCACACTGACTAACATTTAACTGTTTGTTTTTTCTGCACACGAACAGAAATGTTAAAAAATACATGTACAAATATTTGGGAGTTAGAAAGAAGTGGGTTCAGAGGACCTCTACAGCCGCTGCTCATCTCCGCTGCAGATACATGTTTCAGGATCATTACTGACAGTAATACACTCAAATCTACAAACAGACAGGAAACGTCTCTGAATCCTTTCTAAATCAGGGACTTTGTCACAGCAGTTACCTTTTGCTCCGTCTCCAGGAAGCGGGCCAGGTCCTCAGAGTCCAGGTGGTCTTTGTGGTTGCTGTAGGTGATCATGAGGAGGTACAGATCTCTGCGCGTGGACATCATCTTGTAGAAGGAGCAGAACTCCTCGAAGCCCAGCGCCCCCTGGTTATCATCCGTGTCCGCCTCCTACACCGGGTACAAGGAACATTTAGGCTCTTTGCTCTTCGTATTTTAATAACCACCTAAAAACATGCAGGGTGGACAGACTGTTGTTGTTCTACAATCTAAAGCAATTTTCAATATGTTCTGAAACTTAATTTTTTCAAATTTTTTCATACTGTCTGTAGTTATTTTGCCATAGTATTTGAGGTCTTGAAATGAAATATGTCTTGTTCATTAATGTTGAAAATGGGATGATTCACATAACTTTATAAGCTAAGCTTTCTGCCCTCCCAGTTCACCTTTCTTTTTCGCCACCTTTGTGTATACATTGTCTATATTAAAATGTAATTATTTTGAATAAATATATTTATACATATATTTTGTATTTGCTGAAATGACCCATTTACTAAATGTCAATACTTATTCAAAAATCGTCATTCCCTGACATCACATGTCAATAAAATAACTTTCCTCCAGGAATATGCTATTTGTGTTTGTAATGTTGAATGATGAAGCATAATTTGACTTTTTTGTATGTAGTGTTGGTATCTCAGCTATTTATTCATGTGAGTTTCAGACAGTCAGCCTTACTGTTTTTTATTTTTAAATGTACTATGACAATTTAGTCTTGTCATTGTAAAAGAACTGAGACATTTTACTGCAGTTGTAGATTGTAGACAAAACTGTTGAATTCTTAGTCTTGTTTAAGATGAATTATCTGACAAAACCCTTTTTGTCAAAGCCAAGTAAACATCAGAAACAACCTAAGGCTAAAAACCCTTCTGATTTCAGTCTAAGATAAAGAACAATAAGGAACAACATATATTAAAATATGTATATAAACCATGGATTGATTCAACACGAACAAACAATGCCAACAAGATCTTAAAATAATGAAAAACGTCTATGACAGACTGTCGACTGTTACCCCTCTTAATTTCTTGGCTAAGCTCCTGAGGCCATATGCTGCTGCCAGGCCCAGGGCTCCAGTGCTGTTATTATATTAAAATATAACTTTTCATTTAAAATGTGACCACACAAGTATTCTTTATTAACAAGTGTGTAATATTGTTCATTGACCAACATAAAGCTAGTTTGCTAAAATGTTTACTCTAATCTTTGTACTTTCCAACAGCTTCCGGCTCTTTTACCAATGGAAGCTCCAGATGTGTAGCTGTAACGAGCTGGAAAGGAACGAGAGAGCCTACAGAAAGCTTGAACGGTCTCACTGCAGGAGGCCATGCCAGGACCCGTGTCATCCCTGACCCGGTGAACTGAAGCAGTCTGAGACCGCTCCATGGTGAACTGAAGCAGTCTGAGACCGCTCCATGGTGAACTGAAGCAGTCTGACCGGCTCCATGGTGAACTGAAGCAGTCTGAGACCGCTCCATGGTGAACTGAAGCAGTCTGAGACCGCTCCATGGTGAACTGAAGCAGTCTGACCGGCTCCATGGTGAACTGAAGCAGTCTGAGACCGCTCCATGGTGAACTGAAGCAGTCTGAGACCGCTCCATGGTGAACTGAAGCAGTCTGACCGGCTCCATGGTGAACTGAAGCAGTCTGAGACCGCTCCATGGTGAACTGAAGCAGTCTGACCGGCTCCATGGTGAACTGAAGCAGTCTGACCGGCTCCATGGTGAACTGAAGCAGTCTGAGACCGCTCCATGGTGAACTGAAGCAGTCTGACCGGCTCCATGGTGAACTGAAGCAGTCTGACCGGCTCCATGGTGAACTGAAGCAGTCTGAGACCGCTCCATGGTGAACTGAAGCAGTCTGAGACCGCTCCATGGTGAACTGAAGCAGTCTGAGACCGCTCCATGGTGAACTGAAGCAGTCTGAGACCGCTCCATGGTGAACTGAAGCAGTCTGACCGGCTCCATGGTGAACTGAAGCAGTCTGAGACCGCTCCATGGTGAACTGAAGCAGTCTGAGACCGCTCCATGGTGAACTGAAGCAGTCTGACCGGCTCCATGGTGAACTGAAGCAGTCTGAGACCGCTCCATGGTGAACTGAAGCAGTCTGACCGGCTCCATGGTGAACTGAAGCAGTCTGACCGGCTCCATGGTGAACTGAAGCAGTCTGAGACCGCTCCATGGTGAACTGAAGCAGTCTGAGACCGCTCCATGGTGAACTGAAGCAGTCTGAGACCGCTCCATGGTGAACTGAAGCAGTCTGAGACCGCTCCATGGTGAACTGAAGCAGTCTGAGACCGCTCCATGGTGAACTGAAGCAGTCTGACCGGCTCCATGGTGAACTGAAGCAGTCTGACCGGCTCCATGGTGAACTGAAGCAGTCTGACCGGCTCCATGGTGAACTGAAGCAGTCTGACCGGCTCCATGGTGAACTGAAGCAGTCTGACCGGCTCCATGGTGAACTGAAGCAGTCTGACCGGCTCCATGGTGAACTGAAGCAGTCTGACCGGCTCCATGGTGAACTGAAGCAGTCTGACCGGCTCCATGGTGAACTGAAGCAGTCTGACCGGCTCCATGGTGAACTGAAGCAGTCTGACCGGCTCCATGGTGAACTGAAGCAGTCTGACCGGCTCCATGGTGAACTGAAGCAGTCTGACCGGCTCCATGGTGAACAGGGAGAGGACGTCTGTGCTGCTGGAGCCATGCATAGATCCAAAACGACTTTCTCTTTCCACAGAGAAATAATATGATTCTGCATGCTTTTTCTTATTCATACGTCTCACTTATTATAATTTGGTATGGGAATACTTTAATAAAGGCATCCATATTGAAATCCATCACACTTTCGGGTGGAGACTTATCCCGGAGTTCCCCAACAAATTAACTGCTGAACTCGATCCCCCATCCTTCCCTAAAGAATTTCATTATTATCTGACTATAAATAAAGTAACGTCCGTCATATCTCATGCTCCGTTGGTGGGTGTGTTCATTACAACGTAGCTATGCCTAAATCATATCCTGCTTCATCATCAAATGTATTCTAAATGGGATATACATTTCCAAAAGTAAATTCATGCTGTACTGTAGAAGACTTGAAACTAGGTATTGAGACAATAAACTCATCAGGAAAATATTTACTGAGGTAATAAATCAAGTGAGAAGTAGGGTAATTCTCTCGTGGACTTCTATAAAATTAGCCTCCTTTTTGCAACCTCACAATGGCTGGTTGTTGCTAGGTTACAACCAAACTCTCCACTTCTCAAGAGTCAAAAAATGATTAGCGCTTCTTGAGAATCCTGCAAGCAGCCTACAGGAGGGTTAGCAATGGGTCCACTTGTACGGCACTGTACCGGTATGTTGTAATGGAGAGGCTTCCACATCATGTGAAGAACCAAATATCATGTGCAAGGGATTACAGTGGCTTTACTGGAAATGATGTAACCCTAACCTAACCCTAAAACAGAATGAATAGACTACGTTGAATGAGGAAACAGTCATATCGACTGTAGATGATACTAAATTCTAATCATGTGCGTTATGTCGCAAATACCAAATCTGTGTGTTGGATAAGTACATCTCCAGAATGTTGCCATTGGTGTTACTAGTGAACCTTTCATAGATCTGTCCACAGGGCGAGGTTCTAGCTGGTTGCACACATTTATAGTTGTGCCTGAGAAGGCAGCATGAAGTCCCACACACAGAGTACTGAAGTCATGAGTCACTTCTTCTAACTCCAAGTATTGGTGTCAATCTTCTGAATCTTACGTCAAAACTGTCTCCGCTAACAGATTTAGCCTCCCAACAGTAAGCACAGTGTTCTCTGCCTGACACAGCTCATTCACAGGAAGCAAGATGACTCAGAGACAGGGACAACACTTCACGTCACCAGACTCTGCTGCTGGTTTGCATACATGTCACTTAGTTGTCACCAAGTTGTGACACGAGTGACAGATGAATAGAGACAGAATTAATCATATGGCAAGCTTTATTAGACGGAGCTCACAGCAGTGTCTTGTGGCGAGGCTGCAGTGATACACACTCAATTTGCAGTTATCTTTCAAAATAAGAAGTGGTGATGAACATATGGAAAAAAACATTTAACTATCTTTCATTGGGGTATAGGCTATATTGAGTGTTATTTCAAGTATTTTACAAAATAATTATAATTCCTATTAGCCGCTTTCACACCAAGTACTTTGCCGTACTTAGTGCCGGCACTTAGTACCCCCATGGAACTAAGTACAGATCGCGTTCACACCGGGATAAGTTCCTGAGGGAAGATTACGCAAATGAAGCCGCTTCGTCTTCTTCTGCTTTGGGTTTACTGGCAGGCCGCAAACCACTTCACGGCGTATACTGCCACCCGGAGTCCCCGGCCGGAAGTCCCCGGAGTTGCTGGGACTCCCAGCAGCTTCTACTGAAGCCTTCCGAGTAAATCGCCAGAACGCCAACACCTCCTCATCTCCACCGCTCCCATGTTTCTTTTTGTGTTGCCATAAGTTAGTCTCTCTCCGTTGGTGCGCGGGGCTAATGCTAATGCTAATAATGCTAATGCCAGCAAATACAATGGCGGCTTCACAAAACTTTTCAGAGTTTTACGGGGCGTGGTTTGCAATTCGCCCAGCCAATCGAAATTGGTACTTTTTTCTCCCTAGGATAGTCCCACCTCTCTAGCAGGCACTACAAATGGGGGTAAAAGTTCTCGGAACTAAGTACTCTTTTTGGTGTGAACGCAAAATAAGGGGTACTAACGGAACTAAACGGGAAAAGTACGGGGAAAAGTACTCCGGTGTGAATGCGCTTTTTGATTCTTAATAATAAATGCTGATAAAATATCCACTGCCTAGCTTTTTGGGATTTCTAGTGCATTTCCAGGTCTTCATAAAATAATGTACTTGTACCACAAAATGCATTTCAACTCTCTGTTGTTTTTTCAACTCTTCTTGTTGTGAAGTTTCCATGTTATAGTGTGTTCATGATTTAATGGGACATTTGAGAGATAAGGCATCCTGGTGCTCATACAGGAAAATCATAAAATGCTGTAAAAGGGAAATGTGGATAAAACAACTACGGATAATGTGGATTAAATTATTCAATAGCACTAGCTTCACTTAGGTTTGGACAAGTTTAGAAAAAAAGGCAGTGTACTCTATTATGTAATATTCATTTGGTATCAAACTGTTAACGATAAATGAAGTACTTGAGGTACTATAAGAGCATTCATGTCGGTGCAGGTATTCCCTACACTGTTCATCCTTCCTCAGCATATTACTGAGGGACTCATACCAGATGCGTTTAGTCACTTAGTGGTGGAACCAAACTGATGACAGTTACATTACATTTGAACTTTAATGAACTCAGTTATACCTCTGATTTATTAGCACTGTTGGGACCCGTCGTTAATCTATGGGTTCATGTACAGGCTATTCCAGGACGATACTCTTGCAATGAATTATGAGACATACTTGACTGGCACTAAATAAACATCACATGACTATCATATTTGGTATCAATTGTAATTAAAACGGATTACTTTTAGATTTCTGCTCTCAACTGTTTTTGTATTTTATATCAGTCTTTTTTCATTATATCTTCTTCCTTCCAACCTCATTATTATTATATTTGTTTGATTTATGTGATGTCTACAGCCTGTGACACAGCAATTTCCCTTTTGGGATCAATAACCCAATCTTCACTTTTGTCTATCTATGTTTTGCAAATGTTAAATAATATGATTAATCTTTTCTTCTTCTGCCATCTCTTTACCTGTTGTTGTTTTAACCTGTGAGAGCAGACCTGACTTGACTTTCTGTGAGAGGCTATAGCATCAAAAAAGTGGTATTATATGAAACCTGGCCAAACGTAAAAAATCCATTGCCACCAAACATGCCATGCTAGATTGTTGGGAAGAAGGCAAATTACGCTCCAAACTAAAATGATGCATATTCTAAAAATACTCTATTCTGCGTTAAAGGTCCCTGAACAGTCTTAGAACTGCATACATTAGGAATGACTACCAAGCTGACACTCTTGTGGATCCAATAAGCCCAATTGTATTCATATGCCAGGATCTATAGTCCCTATAGTAGCAGTCTCATTGTATTGTGACTGTTTTTATGATTGAATGTTGCCGTGTCCCAACTGGCGGCCGAGCCAACTGAACATTGTGTTCCCGAGTTGTGCGTGAATGGAACTGTAGGTGTTGACACCTCATTCCTCACTATAGGGTTTATCATTATATTTTAACGTCCGTTTACAAATATAAACGGCGCACAGATAGATTATTCACAGTATTGTTGCAGTAGTGTTCTGTAATAAGTTTGGCTGACGGCTAAATATTAGTACATTTACTTCATGTTTGTTTTGAATGTCGTTTCATGTAGCTTTGTAACAAACGGCTGTTATAACTCTCCAGTAACGTGACGTTGTCGCTGGCAGTGTTAACTTTCATGGCGCCATCACAATTACTACGTGTTGTATAAATCTCACTTGCTGCGAAGAGAGACCTCTTGCAGACATTTTGAGTATTGTTTTTATACTGTGTAGCTTACTGTTTAAGTGTCGTTTAGCATTTCTAGCAGCACATTTTTCATGCTATTTTGTATCTAATGAGACTGTTTTTTTAAACATGTCGTTGCTCTATTAAATGAACCGTTGTGAGCTGTAGGATAATCAAAGCTTCATGACACTATTTCAACACATAAAAGAAACTTAGGGAATTCATTGGATGTATGGCTTTCATAGGTATATTGAAAATATGGGGGTTTATTAGGAGTTTTCACAACAGAAATGCAAAAAGAAAATGCATTTATGTATATTTTGTCTTCACTGATTAACAGAATTGCCTGGTGCATCGTACATATCCTGATTAATGTTAAGATATTTGCTCTGACATGTGATCAGATTTTCCTTGTCACAGACTGAGCAGTGAAGGAGTTCAAACTTTAGGAGGTGCACAGGTTTCTCTCCACTGTAAGTAGGTTAAGCCGGTAAAACAACGGAGAGATTGTCAACACACAAATCTCCATTAGTGTCCACAGACAGGCACAGGGCCAGATCAGTCCCTGGTGTGTTTACCCTGCATTACACCAGAGACCATCTGTGTCCCAGCAGCACCATATGGGTGAGCGTCATCAGGCCGCTGGACTTAAATGGCTCGCTGCCCGGGTGGGGGGGTGGGGCTGAAGAACACGCTTCAGACGGCAGCATGCTGATCCTCTGCTGCGGAGCACAGGCTGAGAGTCTGAGCTGAGAGTCTGCCAACATCTGCAGCCATCAGTCAAAGAGTCTTGACAACCTGCCAGGAAGTACACTGCAGACTCTAGTGACCTGATGAGGCCGTTTACAGTCTAGACCGCTGTGTGCTGCTCGTTAGCTATAAAGCTTTATTACATTTAAAACGGATTATTAGTTATTCCTTTTAGAGTTTAAAGTCGTAAGCATGCTTTGTGAGTCAGTTAAATCCCATCATTAAATCCACCTGTTGTGTGTTGCTCTAATAGACCTTCCTAACCAAATGTACCTCCAGCTTTGAGGTTTTAGGCCAAGCCTTCCTAGTTTGGATTCTCTAGATCAGTGATTCTCAAATGGGGTTACGCGGACCCCTAGGGGTACGTTGGGGTACTGCAGGGGGTACGTGAGATTTTTACAAAAAAGTTAAAGGTAGGGTAGGTAAGTTTGAGAAACCGGCTCGAGATCGCTAGAATTTGAAAATACACAACCGGAGAAAATCTGCCACTTCCTTAGAGAGCCCCTCCTCCAACACACACGAACGTGCACATGACCAATGAGGGCACGAGATAAGTTTGTGCACAGATGGAAGGCTGACAGGCAGGGAGGCCATCCAGTTATTTTAGCCGGGCCGGCTAAAATGATTGGTCGTGCTTTTTACAGTACTACGGCTTCCACAGATGATATTTTTTTATTGATTTTTTGTCAAAGCACTTCAGATATTCATTGCTATCGAGATGTTAAGAGCATTCCATGGAATATAACAAAAAGTGTATCTCGAGCCGGTTTCTCAAACTTACCTACCCTAACTTTAATAAAAAAAAATACCATGCATGATTACAAAAATAATCTTAGTACAATAAGTTAAATAGAAAACACGATGTTATATAAAATATTCCTAAAAAAAAAAAAAAACTCCTTGGAAAAATCTGTTTAAAAAAAAAATGTGTTCTTTTTTTTCATGCATAAAGATGAAAATATCCTTAGTTTGTTGTAATTCATGCATAAAGGAGTTAATAAATCACACACTGATGGAACATCACTATATTGTAATTATTTATATAGGCTTTTACTATCAAAAATGTTTGGGGTCGGTCAGGGCTGAGAAAATGTTTCAAAGGGGGTACATTACTGAAAACAGTTTGAGAAGCACTGTATGATAAAAAAGGAGCTTCGAGGCTTCCTTTATTATCTACTTTAGCTTAGGAAACACTGGACCATCCTTTATGAAAGGAAAGGAGAAAATGCTGTCTCACAATACCTTGTGGCCGCAACATTTACCATAACACAATATTCGGCAAACAATACAAATCATACAAACAACCGATCATGGCCAACAAACGCAGATGATGTACTGCTGTACTTATTAAGCATTTTTGATCCTATTCCATATCTTATGCTTATATGTTTTAAACTTTCAACACTATATTAAACCTAAAGGCAAAATATGAACACTGATTACTGTAAAATGAGCAAATAAAGTAAATAATTCCTGTCTTACCTTGAACATCTGTTTGACCTTCTGTCGGGGTAGGTTGACGTTGAGTTTGTGCAGCAGCTGCATAACCTCTCCGATGCTGAGGCTGCTGTCACCGTTCTTATCGGCCTCCGTGAAGGTCTGCTTCAGCCATGTGACCACACCGAGGGTTAAGGAAAGGTGGACGCTTTGTAGAGAGCTGCATGAATGAGTTCCAAAAGCCAGAAATGAGTTAGCATTTCACCACTTCCGTTTCCCTTGTCGACGTCATTCAATGTCAAAAAAGTATTTTTTGTTAGAAGCCTGAAATAGGAATAGGGTCTATGGTTAACAACAACTTTAGAGATTTTCATGTTTTGTTCTATGACATAAAACAAGTCGGTAAGTACCCCACTGGTGAAAAACAGCTGATGCTAACACATGGCTAAATGACACTGCTAAGCGCCATTAAGGCGAACATTAGCTGCCTTTAGCTTAGCGGTGGTGATGGCAGCCGTACGACAGGGATGTAGTTAGAAATTCAATGATCTCTACATTATATACACAAATATATATTTACAGGTGGTTGCACCCTGAAATCACCAGCCCATGTGTGAACCCCCCCCCCCCCCCCTCGCCCTTTCTGTATGGCTGAAGGATATTGGTCTCGGGTGCGCTGCCTCTTGGCCAGGCTGTCCTCGTCACTGATGCCGGCCATCAGGTACTTGAGGCCGGTGATCCAGGTGCGGGCCTCCTCCCCGGTGCCCGACACCAGGTCCAGGGACTCCATGTGCTCTCCGTAGTACAGGCTGAAGCAGCAGTTGGGGTCGAAGCTGCCCTCGGAGTAGCGCTGGAAGATCTCCGACTGCTTCCCCTCACACACCTCCTGCACAGAGTCCACGGAGACTGATGGAGAGACAGGAGGTCAGTGGTGGAATGTAACTAAGTGCTTTTATTTGAAGGAATACATTATCTCCAATATCATCATATCTATATCAATTACTGAATCATCCAGCAGTTTATTAGGTATTTTATTTACAACACTTCCGTATAAACGGGATCGTGTCTGTGCTGTGTGAGACATGATAAATGTGTTTAAAGACTTTTCGCTTTATTTGTTTTCCCGATTCTAAGTTTAAAATGGAGGCATGTGACAGAAAACGTTTTCATTAAGGGGCCCTTTTATACTTTTTGGAGTTTTCCCATTTCTTGTAATGTGTTGTAAATGGTCTGCAAGGCTAAAACCCCTGTGTTCCTTCCAGAGGGAGTTTCTCTCCCACACATTTTATTTCAATAACATGCTATTTTATACCTGTACTGACCTACATTACAGAGCGAATATTTTTACAATACAACCTTAGGAAAAATGTAAATCAGCGAAGACACTTAGTGGAGGTGGAGTCACCTAATGGGTTTTGCTTTTGATACTTTCAGTACATTTTTGCTGATAATACTGTGCAAGTGCATTTTTGAATGCATGACTTATTTGGTAATTAACTATTGGTGTGTGGTGTTGCAACTTTTCTCTATTCTTCCTCCTCCCATAGAGTAGGTAGATCCAGAATATGTTAAGCCTTGTGGAGGCCTATCATCAATCGCTGATAGAAAATGAAACCTATTTAAAAAAACAAGCAAAACTCAGGATAATGAAACCAACATTCCCTTCTGCAGTCTTCAGCACTGTATTGGTTTTCACAATTTCCACAAATTGCATTTCTGGCAACATAGTGAATTAATTGTAGTGGACAAAGGGATGGTTTAATGGGGAAATGATTCCATCCTATTTCAGGCTCTGTGATACGGAGGATTACAAATAGTCAACTCAATGAGCAGTGCCCAGAGTGCTCTGTTTATTTAGGATGCAACATTTATGAGATGGTAATGATATTTTACCGGAAGACACTGCCTCCAGTCATTAATTAGATTTCCCCATGACGGCGAGCACACGATAAGTACTCCTGTTGTGAGCTCAGCCCACGTGCTAATTGGGAAATTTAGTGGAAAAGTATCATTCAAATCTTTCTTCGTTTCAGTCATACACAGTACGAGGATACATTATACACACTCATTCCTCCTGCAGCTATAGAAACACACACCCTCCCCCGGGCTGTTTGGTACACACCCTGAGGTGTGCGTGTGCGTGTGTTGGATGTCAAAGCTGCTGTGTGTGCTCCCATGTGGTTGTCAGTGCTCCTCTCTATCTCACAGATAGACCTGGCAAGACTTGACGTGTATTATGTGACAGTCTGATCAATATTGAATCCAACAAGACTGAACACAACGTCTGCAGCCATGCCAGTGGCTCTACACGGGTATATGTATGCACAGCAGTACTTACATACAGAGGCCACACACACACACACACACACACACACACACACACACACACACACACACACACACACACACACACACACACACACACACACACACACACACACACACACACACACACACACACACACACACACACACACACACACACACACACACACAACACACACACACACACACACACACACACACACACACACACACACACACACACACACACACACCACACTACACACACACACACACACACACCACACACACACACACACACACCACACACACACACACACACACACACACACACCACACACACACACACACACACACACACACACACACACACACACACACACACACACAAATCTGGGGTTAAGAACACATTGAAACAAACTGACCTTCTGATTGGTGTAATTACTACTAAGATGTCCAACAATATAATCAGTAACGTAATCTGAGTATCAAAATGTAAAAGTAATGTAACCTGATTACTTTGTTACTTTTGGATTACCTCAATATCGAATGCAATGCAAATAAATATAAGAGAAAATAAATAATCATTAATAAGATGTTTTCAAAAAAAAATTCAAGTGTATTATGTAATACAACAGAACAATGTGACCTTAGAAAAGAAGAAACCAAGATATTTAGAATAAAAAAAACTACTACTACTACTACTTACAATTATTTAATAAAAAAGGAGCCACACAGGGTTAAAAAAATGTTAAGACTTTGATTAGTCTTTATTTATGTGCTTTTTCCAGTGTAGTATTTCCAGTGTTCTAGTTTGTTCTTATCTCAAAATGGTGTTTCATGTCTGGATGTTGACCTAAATTATTTGACGTTAGACAAAGCACACACTGATATTCTGATGTTAATTTATATTAGTTATTTTTCCACACATGTTGAATTCAAAGTATTTATTCACTTCTTAATGTATCTATCTGAAACCAAATCAGGCCATTTTTGTCAAAATATCCAGTTCCATTCGACCATGTCTTGACTGAAGGACAATGGATTTGTTGTCAGCTGTTTGCGTACATTTCCGTTTGGGTTGTTGGTTATTGTTTGGGGCGGGAAAGAAGAGTGAGTGTAACACAGAGCTTATAGAGGACAGCAGATCAATCCTACTCCAGTCTCAGATGATCAGAAGAATGCTGTGGGTGGATTAAGAGATATTAAGTCACTGGTGTGCGGAATAATCTTATTTACCTTCATGCAAAAAAATATGGGGTTTCATAGGAGTTATTACGAAGATTGTATAGATATTTTTGTTTGACTTAACCTTTTACTTATCCAACCCTAAAGGTTTAAGGACACATTCTGTGATTTAGCTTGAATGTCTTTAAATAAAGCCCCAACCCCCCTGTCATTTCCATTTAGTGGCAAGTGTGTGGAGGACACTGTTTGGGCAGATTAAAGCTGATGAATAATTAAGTCGGCTTAAGAAGCTTATTAAATCCTGGGCTACAGAGGAGGCAGAGCGACAGGAAACTGATCCCTAAGTCCCCGGAGACGCTCTCACGGCGAGCGCTGCTAAGACCCTCCTCTGCCTTCTTTCATTCTAAAACACTGCAGGAAGTTGTTTGTTTGCCTGTTGCAATGAACCTGTGTGCAGGGGAAATACATGTCCAGTTCTAAATAACAAGAACACTTCCAAGCCTGAGGGAATGCTTACTGTAGGAGCAACATCTAAATGGTCCAAATACTTTCCAGATTCATGATAGCACTTATCCTAACACCACAAGGTAATGGCTCTGTTCCTCCACAGTATCCTGCAGCAGTTCCAGGCCCAAACCAATGTGGGGGTTTGTTCATATGGATTTTGGGTTTCCTGTTAGATAAGATCAATCAAGATCAAATTGGAAAAAATAACTAATTGCAATTATGATGACTGATATTGCAATTGCGATATGTTTTTGATATCGGAAATTTTGATAATTATTGTATAATTGGAACATGCATTCAATGATTATAGAGTGGCGAAGTCACGCCCATCTACTTCCGGTCCATGGGACCTTATTTCGGAAAAATAATGTATTGAAGTCAATGGAGAGAGAAAACTTATCTTTCGATCCCGTTTGAATTGTGCCATGAATTACACAGATGATGTTTGTCAATCTTAAAAAATCATTTCCATGTCAAAAAAGTCACAGTTTGTCGTAAAACTGTTGAAATATAAGACTATGAAAAATACGTAACTAGAAAGACTACAAATCCCAGAGTCGCGTAAGTGATGTCACAATTGTTTTCCTCCACTAAGAGATAGCTAAGATCAGCGCCATATAGATATAATCTATCTATATGGCGCTGGCTAAGATAAGATAACTTTAACAAGATGCCTGTGTGCTTAGTACCAGGTTGTTATTATACCAGCAATGGGTCTTGCTCGTTCTTTCGCTTCCCGTCTGATGAAAGGACCAGGAGTGTCTGGATCAAGCTAGCTAGTAGCTAGCACGTTAGTTAGCATTACAGCCTTGTCATTTTTATTAGCCTTAACATGAAGTAACATTAAGTAACCCAAAATGTTAAACAGTAAGAGTAGTAGTCATATTTCGTGAACCCTTTGAAGAGTACTGTCACCGGTGTGATCATTCTATAATACACAATTTAAGCCCGGGGGAGAAATGCTAACGCTAACGCTAGCGATCTTCTCTACTTCATGCTATCTGCACAAATGGTTGACATTAAACATTAAAACGACCAGGCAGTTCAGAGAGAATCAAAGGAAGGCAGGTAGGCAGCTTTGCATGACATTCTTCAGGACGTGTTTCATTGTGGTGATAGTGAGGGTAGCCAATCGTTTTGTTGACAAGACAGTAGTGACGGCCATCTTGGTGACGTGTGTTGTTGACCAGAGATGTAGTTCATTGAGTGTTTCACACAAACAAATGTGTTACTTCACAGTTTTACGACACTTTTTTTTTTTTTACTTGCAAAATTATCTTTTAAATTGACAAACAACATATGTGTAATTCGTGGCACAATTCAAACGGGATCGAAAGATAATCTTTCTCTCTCCATTGACTTCAATACATAATTTTTCCGAAATAAGGTCCCATGGAGGTCCACCGGAAGGGGAGGGACTTCGCCACTCTATTGTGATTGTTTGAAGGGGATCTGTACCAAAAAGGGGCCTCCTTTTCAGGTGTATATCAGTATTTAGGCCTCTACTGTGAAATGTCTCCATGCTTTAATGTTCAAAAAGCTCTTTATTTTTCTCATACTGCCTGTGCTGCAGCACTTCTTTTCACCCTCTGTCTGAAACCAGAGCCCAGTCTGCTCTGATCTTAGCTGGCCGGCTATGTTGTGATTGGTCAACCAATGGAATAGATTAAGTAGAATATGATTTGTAGGGTGGGATTTCTCTGCAGCACCACAATACTTCATCAGAATGAAATGCACTATTTAATAAATATTGTGTATGTATGTTTTAATTTATAAATGTGCTAACAGTTGTTTGTTCTTTCACTTACTGTAGGTGTGTGACTATGTGTTTTTGCACTTAAGAGCTGCACAGAGGCAACACCCTTTCCTAACACATAAACTATGGCACACATGACTTTTCATAATTCTGAACTGCAACTACATTGCCCTCCGCAGGACAGATTGAAAGCAGTTCCCTGGTGACTGTAGGGGGAAGAACACACTCACTCTTGGCCTTCTCGTTCTTGCGTGAGGGCCTCCAGCGGATGCAGGACTTGTGTTCGTCCAGATAGAAGAAGCGCACCAGTCCCTTGGAGCCGCCGCGGAGCTTCACCATCTGGGTCCCCATCTGCATGGAGCTCATACATTTCTCCACTGCAGGCGAGAAAAAACAGACAAAAAAAAGGTTGTCAGAAGGGAAACCACTGGAGCAAAGCAGAAATCAAATGTGCTTGCACAACATGATTTCATTCACAAGGCTGAGCGTGTGTTTGCTAAAAACCTCCATCCGGGCTCTCATGTAACACACAGTTATTTACTTATACACCCACAGGAACACCAAGCTATGCAGATGCATTGGATGCGCCTGTCACTGCTGACGGGGGCTGCTGGTCCCGTGGGAGGAAGAGAAAGGGAGAGAAGATAGATGACAACGAGAGGCAATTCCTACACAAAAGCCCTTTAACAAAATCTCTACTTCACACTGCACGGAACAACAGAGAAAATCAATACGAGCAGGAGATCTTTTCTAATGTGGGGGATTTTCATGGCGGCTTAAAGTTAAAGGTCCCATGTCATGGCCATTTCTACTGATCATAATTCCATTGTTGAGGTCTACTAGAATAGATTTATATCGTTCAATGTTCCAAACTCACATTGGTTTCTCATACAGCATCTCTGTATAGTGTGTGTATTCACTCTCTGTCCTACACGCCTTGTTGGAGCTCCTGCCCCCCCCTCCCTATGAGCCCAGTGTGCTCTGATTGGTCAGCTCGCCCACTCTGTTCTGATGAGTCCACCACCGTTACAGCGGAACATCAGTGATTATGTGTTACAATGGCGTTTGTTAGCAACCAGAAAATGACAGCAGTAATGACAAACAGATGAGAATGCTGCGTGGGGTCTGGGTGCCGTGTTGGCGGGACGTTGCGCGGCTCGCTGCTGCGAGGAGCGGACAGTGTGAGCTCTATTACTGGTGTCGTTTCCTGGTTGCTGCGAGGGGTCTGCGAGACAGCGAGACATCGTGAAACTCAGCCTGAACTCAGCCTGAGCACCATGGACGCAGGAAGGGGGGGTGCTGAGGGGGCTGCAGCACCCCCATCTGCGAGGCTCCACTAGCTGATTAAATTAAAGTTATTTTTATGTAACAAGACAACAGGAAAATAGACCAACTTCATTTATTTCAAAGCACTGTGAGTATTATTGATTTCCCCATTTTGTGTGTTTCTTAAATATTAGCAGGGGGGATAAACTTCAGCAGCAGTATAAATACTTGTATGCCAAGAACATTGTTCTTTATTCCCAGGTGTTTTGACCCTTACAGACATTTTGTCCCTGGCACCTCGACTACCATGCAGGTGAAGTTAGAAATCCCCACCATAAATCACACTAAACTAAGTATAAGACCAAATGATTGCACGTTAAATCATGTTTTATGATGCTAATTCACTCAACATCACCAACACTGCACTCTCCTGGTCGAAATCCTACCTCACCGACAGACATCAGTTTATCAACATCAACAACTGCACCTCCTCCACTGCTCCTCTGTACCAAGGCGTCCCCCAGGGTTCGGTGCTTGGCCCCCTCCTCTTCATTCTCTACATGCTCCCCCTTGGCAAAATCATTCGTCGCCACAACCTTCAATTTCACTGCTACGCCGATGACATCCAACTTTATATCTCATCAAAAACCATCACCCCCACAACACACTCCACTTTCACCAACTGTCTCTCAGAAATAAAAGCATGGATGCAAACAAACTATCTCCAACTGAACAGTGTCAAATCAGACATCATCGGCCCCCCATTCCGTACCAAAACCATCCAGAATGTCAACTTCATTGACAGCCACACTCTATCCACCCCCTCACATCCGCAACCTCGGAGACATCTTCGACAGTCAGCTCAAATTCAATCACCACAATCACATCACCAGGACTGCCTTTTTCCACCTCAAAAACATTGCCCGTCTCCGCCCATCACTCTCCTCCTCGACTCGACTACTGCAATAGCATCCTACGGTATACCATCCAACCTCCTCAATAAACTCCAACATATCCAGAACTCTGCTGCCCGCCTCCTCACCCACACCCGCTCCCGAGACCACATCACTCCCGTCCTCCAGAACCTCCACTGGCTCCCAGTCCGTCAAAGAATCCACTTCAAAGTCCTCCTGATTACTTACAAAGCCCTCAACAATCAGGCCCCCCCCTACCTCACAGACCTGCTGCACCACCACACCCCTTCCTCCGCTCATCAGAAGCCAACCTCCTATCCATCCCCACCCGCATCAAGCACCGGACCTGGGGGGACAGAGCCTTCTCCGTCGCTGCCCCCTCCCTCTGGAACTCACTCCCCCAACCCATCAGAGACTGCACTGACCTCACCAGCTTAAAAAAAACTCACAAAAACTCACCTCTTCAATCTGGCTTTTAATGTGTGATTGTTTTTGTATTATTTGACTTTAACTTTAACTATATATATTTATTTGTTGTTCTTTTCACTATATCTGTAAAGCGTCTTTGAGCACCTGTAAAAGCGCTAACAAAATAAATCTATTATTATTATTAATTTACAACAAATAGAGTTAAAGAAAGCAGTGGAACCTAAAAGCATATCTTGATTGAGTGTGGATCTCATTTGCTCTCATTTGACCTGAATGCAACATCCAAAAGATCCGCTGTGTAAGTAGGTAAACCGGCACTGATGGATTGCTCCTGTAGAGCATTGATTAGGCCTGGCTGCGGGGGGGGGGGGCCCGGGGGCCAGTAATGTACTCCTGTTTGTTCTCCTAACCTCTGCTATCGACAGCACCACCACACTGCAGTGTTAGGCTCACAATGCATTCCAACACAAGACTGCTTCATTACACCGTGCTCTGTGTGTAGGGTTATAATCGGTAATGATGGTCTTGATTTTTAAAAAGGTAGTCACAGTCAGGTCAATGGTCTCTACTCATGCTTGTTCTATGTGTGTGCTACATGTATCTACCATCTGCTTGTCCATAGTTTGAACCTTGTAAATGGTAAACAGACTGCTGAAGAGAGTTCATACAGTGTTTTCTTCAAACAGTACAAATGGTTCATGACAAAATGTGTTAACCCCTTGTCGATCAGGGCACAACTGACGTGACATTTGACCCCGTTTCCCTGCCCCCACAGTGCCCACAGACCAACTCCTAATCCTGCTGGTTTGATCTTAAACCAACTAAAGAACCAGATTTCAGAAATGTATAATGCCATTAAGAGAATAAGCATTCCTTCGAATAACTAAAAGCAACAATAACTTCTCCCTCACCCTTGACAACACTCTGTGGAGATACTCTGTCAGACAGTACCAGATATCATGATATTAATCATGATCATATTTTAATCATGATATTGCTAATCGTTAACTTACTACCGCTGCTTTTATTTAGAAATGTCAAAACGTACATTAAAATAAAATGTTATCAATGTATGTCTACTAATATTGAAATAAACAGACACACACTCATTTCATACAGTTCATATTGTAGCACAAGGTACTAAACACCATCAGAACTCTAAACTGAATTGGTTAATCATTTTGTGGATTTGTACACGAGCCATTATACAAAACACCTGAACAAACAAATGATCATCATTATAATGAGAATCATTTTTCAAATGTGTTACAAGGAACATGATCCATAACCGATGGACCCTTAATGACTTTACAGCTCAGACTATTTGATGCAACATAGGAGCAGCATGGCTGTGGCTGAGCGTTTATGGAGTTTTAAAGGAAGAGTTATTTTTGGAGCTGCAGGCTGGTTGCATCAGCAGAGTTAAGGATCAGCAGGGGGCAGTCATCCATGAAATGAGCTGCTGTCAGACTCGAGGTTGGAATGAGACGATCCAGGCTGTGCAGGTGGGCTCAGAGTGGCTGGAAACATGTGCCCTGTCAGAGGGTGTTTCTCAATGTCGAGTACGCTTGCTTGGTAGCACATGTCTTCCGAGTCACTTGCTTGAGAAGCGAGGCAAGAATACTTCCTGGCATTCGGAAAACGAAGAGTGGAACAGGCGAGCAAGTGTGCAGGTCTGCGTCATATGAGAGGCCCCGCCTTACATTTTCCGCCACAGATTTTGGGAAATTGGTCCGTGCGCAAAGCATTGTGGGGATTTTAAGACCGCGGAGTCTACACATGTGCAGCCTCGAAATTTCTCGCTACGAAGTACGCCGGGCTCGGTAGAATTCCAAGTATGCTGGAGATTGGAACAGTCCTTCAGCGGCACTCGATGACGTAGTATGCTTGAAATAGTGGCTCTGGAGCAGCTTTCCTCGACATTGAGAAACACCCAGAGATTAACTGCACCCTACTGTCTCCTGGCCCACATTTACATCTGCTGCCATCACACAATCGAGCCACAATCAACCCACTGTACTGTCATTAAAGGGAGAATGTGGTGATATCCAATTCTCTAGACCAAGGGTGTCAAACATATGGCTGACTTTGCAAAGTGTAAAAAGAGACATTAACTGCAATTTCACTTTGTTATATAAATGTTATACATTTACAAGGCAGGGGGATAACTTGACCTTGTCCCTTAATAGTTCCCACTTAGTGGGTTGTATGGGGGTGTGTCAAATACAAAATATTGAAAATATTGTACATACATTGTATATTGTATAATGTACTTTTTGGTACCTAGACAAAGGGAACAATTTGGAGTTGGTATTAATTGCTTATTATGCTATCATTTTATTTGAGATCAATTGTGGCTGTATGTGGCCCCTGAATTAAAGTGAGTTGGAGACCCCTGCTCTAGTCTAATTGGAGATAGAGAGGCAACAGAACAGCAGGGCAGCCCATTTCTGATCTGGCACTCACACGTTTGATCTCACCGGTGCGGAGAGGAGCTAAATCAAATCGCGAGTAAAGAGACTCTCTCCAGCGTCGAGCACACTCCGGTTTGTGCTCCACACAATTGGCTCACGGATGAGGAGGCAGGGAAGGAGGCCATGTCAAACTCCTCCGCCAGCCCACTAAAAGGAGAATGTGTTTTGCTCTTAGGATGTTGAATCCCCTTGGGAAGTCAACTACATCTTTGAAATGTCTTCGTATGCTGCACTTTACTGAGGGGCTCTCACACTGAGGTAGCACAGTTTGTGGTTTCACCCATGGAGGAAGTG